CTTATAAACATGAATAAGAAGATTATGACGGGCGTTATACTCACAACCAACAATACGTAGTTAATTCGTATGCAAGCTCCCCGTGGATGAGAGAAGTTGACATGCAAGCAATAATATAATGATTTTTAGATGAATATAAAAAATTGTAAGAATGGTTGAGATGCAACCATCAACAAACAATTATAAGCAATGACCTATGGTGAATAGAATCCCTATATCTCACTCATAAGAGCAAGTGATATGAACTTGATGAGTAAGGACAGTTGCAATGTGGATATTCATGAAAGATATACATATGAATGTAGCAATGTCTCCATCATCAACAATAATTCAACATAAAAGCAAATACATTAGACCTCGTAGGCAGTGAAGCTTATGAATACATTTATCTTGTACAACATAAGACAAAAGTACAGTGAATGTAGCAACGCTCTTCGATCGACATCAAAATACAAATAAAGGTACTGAACCTTGTAGGTAATGAAGATAAAGGGGGACATAGTTTGATTGCAGGCCAATCTGCAGGAGCCTTCATTGAATACAACAATTTATCGATGAAATCACATAATAAGATTATGATGTATGCGATGCATCGTGTACAATCCAAGAAATGCTAGAAGCAACTATATGAAGCATAATATGCTAGCAGTTAATGTGTAATGTTTGCACAAACCTTACGAGAAGATACAAAAACCCTTGCAATCAGTGATAACATACATTTTGTAGAAGTAATAAATCATCTGCGAGCATAGATATCATGTGAGATATCATCTAAAGGCAAGGGTGGTATATCAACAATACTCCCACAAGCAATGCCACCCAATGAGAACAAATATGTAGATCCCTGCATGCAAAAGGGGAGTACTTGACGACAAATGCAAATATCTATGGGCCTTTGTAGGAGACTCGTCGTACACACTAGATGTCACCTATGAGCAAAGTGCCAAAAGACCATAATAAAACGCATACAGAATATATCAAATGCAAACACACCTACAGGTTGTCGTAGCAGTTGTAGGAGGTCCATCACATATTCAACATATTGTCTGTGGGCGAGTATGCAAGATCTGTAATGCATACAATCTCTTTACGAATACAGATATATGTATAATATGTCACCTATGGGTAGATACATAAAGACTTCAGTAAATGCAATATCATGTAGTCAACTTTAATCTGTGAAGGAATACATCTACCTGCATACCTGTAACAATGGCGAATATACTGCATGGGCCAAAGACCATAGCAAAATGCATAAAAATACGACAAATGTAAGTTCCTACGAGCTTATGTAGGAAACCAGCTATGCACTTAATATTCTATCCATAAGAAAGATACAAGGGAGTTGCAACATTGACATCATCTATCAACCAAAAAGCAGGAGATTCGTTAGTGCACATTGATCCACCTATAGAAAGAAACAAATAATGCACGACAATCTATCTGTACAAAGCGGGCAAATGCCCATAGTATGATGTCATGCCATCGGATCCGCAGCATTCATGCAAGTGGACAGAAGATGTTTACAAATATTCCAAGAATGCCCCCACACATGCACCCTAGTTTGTATACACATAGGTACACAAGAGGTAAGTTAGGGGTGTCAATTTCAGGTCACGGGTCGGGTTCGGGCCGAACCCCCAAAATTGACCCGGCACTATTCGAGTTAACTCGAACCCGATAAAACACGACCCGTTTTTGTAAACAGGTCAATTTTTGGGACCCGAACCTGACCCGCTTCGAGTTTGGGTCGACCTGACCTGACACGAATTTGCACGATTTAATTGATGAAGCACGCGAAGATACCTGGCGAACGGACCGGCGGAGGACGCGACTGCTGGCGGACCTTCGGCTGCGAGTATGGTTGGTGAACGCGATGGGTTGGGGGACGCAACTGCTTGACACGGTGAATCTGTTTGCGGGCGTGCAAGGGCAGCGGTCAGCCAGTCACCTGATGGTGGATCATTGCGCGGGAATCATTCCGGAATGCCCTATGGGCTTGAGCTGCTTGACGCAGACGACCAACCGTGGATGCGAAGTTGTGACAGGCTCGAAATTCAGACATGACAGCGACATGACGGATTGACGCGGACGTGAATGACGCGAACCCGGGTCAAACCGGGTTGATTCCGGGTTTCCGGGTCAACCCGAACCCGACCGGTTTTACAAACGGGTTGAAATATCTAACTCGACCCGGTTTGGGTTCAGGTTGACCCGAACCCAAAATTTTCGTGTCGGGTTCGATTCGGGTTTTCGGGTCATGTCCAATATTGGCATCCCTAGGGTAAATGCAATCACAAAACCTGCATGGGCCCCAATGAGCATGTTGTATGAATACATGTGACGTCTAGGGATGTTGCGCGGATCAATAAATTTGAACCTGATCCTCCTAAGTATGTAAATAAGAGTTGACAATGTTCAACAAATAATTATAAAATACCCCCAAACACCCGTATGGGCCACGACGAGTATGTTATTAGTACACACGTGACGTTTAGGGATGTTGTGCGGGTCCATAAATGAACGTAGTTCGAGTCCGATCCTTCCATATGGATAGATAAGAATTGACACAACTCGAATTATCAAACAAATATAAAATCAAGGCGTCGATTGAAATATCTATTTTATACGTTCATATAAGGCCTTCAACAAAGAAAATTCATTAACAAAGGTATAAAGCCTATGAAATCCGATCCCCTATCGACAAGTTGATAGAGTCGATAAGGTTTAGTCGATGAATAATCCCATACACCTCGATGATGACTGTGTTGAATGTTTATTTCAATTGGAGGGGTTTACAAACACTTTCAAATACCTTCTAAATTCTCAGATATCCTTTAAAATCCAAAATCTCAAACACCTGTGGGCTCCGAAAAATTCCAATTTTTGGGATGTGTGATCCCGGGGGAATTTTCAGAAGGCAGATTGGGTTTGTAGATAAGACACTACCCAGAGATTTCGCCCTCATTTAGTGAGGACTTTTTGATCTGAGTTCTGGTTACAACACCGAATATTTAAAAATTGAAATAATCCATCAAATAACTTAAAGCAAAATACATCCATCCTCTGTAACAGTTTGCTATAGTGGACAAATTAAAATTTACTTCGGCTCACGTAGAACAAATGCCTAGTCGAAAATATCACTAGGATCCATTCTTAACTAATCTCCTGCCAGTAAGGATGTTGTACTTGTCCTCTGACCGACAGTTTTGCTGCCAAATGACACCGTAGGATAAACGGTTGACCCGGGTCCTCTGAACCGAGTGGTTTCGCCGCCAAATGACACCACGAGATAACGGTTATGGCTAGAGCCAATACGTTCCTTATTGACATCAAATCCTTAAGACATGAATCAATATGATATAATCGATAGGGCATAAAGCTCTCTGTTAGCTAAGGTGGATTCAAATTTGTCCCCTTAGACAAACATTCACCCTAGGTCTACAAGGTACTCTTGGACGACGCAACCCATGGTTGCCGACAAGGATCCTTCTATCTGGTTGGGTCGACTACCTCCTTTGATTAAGTAGACCAGGGAACACGATGGCCCGGGATGACGGAACCATGAGATCTTGATCGGGTCCATCATCCATTCCTCCACCATCCGCTTTAAGTGAAAGATGGTGACATTTCAATTTTAAATATAAAATCTTCACATTTTCAAATACCCATGCCCATGCTGCTACTATATGCTAGATAAGACGTATCTCTATGTATCTGATTGACGACTAGCCTTAATTAAAAGTTCTTTCTCATGATCGGGAGGTGTAATTAACTATAGGGGCTTGCGCCTATAGGAAACCATAACTCAAATCATAAAGTCCTTGCAAAATGAGGGCGAAATCTCTGGATAGTGTCTTATTTACAAACTCATTTGCCTTCCAAAATTTACCCCGGAACTTAAATTCCATTAAAATTCCCCCGAAGAAAAAGCACGCGGGGGAGGCCGGGGCCGAATTTTTGGAGCCCACTGTCTAAGGCCTTATGAAAATCAATATTGGCGCATAAATGTTTAATTGTATGATTGGATATTGAATCCATTAAGAATCTCTAGAATTAGAATGCAATTTTTGGAAATGTCCTTATTCTTGATGATGACAAACCGAGTAGGATGAATAAGCAGTGAATTATCCACCTTGAGTCTATTTGCCAAATTCTTAGAGACAACTTTATGGAAAACATTACAGAGGGATAGGAGTATGTTATATGATAAGCAATTGACATGGAACTGCTTATAGGATTGAGTGTAATCGTTGAGTGTTTAATCCTGTTTTAAAGCTTGCTAGCGTGAAAGAAATTTTTGGCACAATTTGAACTTGTGGACCGACTAGCTCATAGTTGCTAGAAAAGAATTTAGCGGCACAGCTATCCGATTCAAGGGATTTATATTTGCTAAAAAAATAATCATTGATTTACAGATTAGTGAAAATGGATATAAGCATGCTTTGGCTCTTAGAGTAGAGGATGGCATCAATTGGGAGGTTGATTAAGGTTATGAAAATTGAGTGGATTTTTGAGAGTATATTGTACTAAGTTTCAAAATATATCATGACTGATGTAGAAATTTTTTGAGGGGAGGAAAAAATTTCATAAGTGGCTTGAATCTCTTTAATGAAATTGTGATTGCATCTGCCCTTGATTTTTCAAGAAAGAGAAAAACATGATCTCTTTTAGAAAATCAAGCAATTTTAGCCCATTGGTCAGGCCATGCACTTTCACATATGAAATCATTGTATAGATTTTCTTGGATGTTCTTGACCTCACATATAGGGAGGGATTGAAAGGATTGTTCTCTAGTAAGGAGAAAAACCATTGTTCCTCTTTGAAAGAGTTAATATGATATAGATGATTAACATCATTCTAAGTTGAGGCTTTAATAGCATATTTGACTGCCATTAGCATTTTATGAAGCACAAACATAAGATCACCACAAAAAATCCGTTAGGGATTAGTAATAATATACATGAAATAAAAAATAATGAGTCCAAAAATTCGTAAAGATAATCCAATATCTGAGGGAAAACCATTCAGTATAAATAATAATTAAAGAGTGATTAGAATATAAAAATAATATAATCATTAATCATTTGATACGAACATATAAACATGTCAAACCAATCAGAGAGAAACATGTCTATCAATTGTTATCTAACAGGGGGAATTGGGTTGGTTTCTGAAGCAAGTTTATGTAAGCCCCAAGCTAGGAAAGCTAGGAAGATCCGAAAGTCAAATTGGAAAATGCAATAATTTAAATCAACAAATTTATTAGGAAAAGGAGAAATGTCACCAATTTTCTCATTAATAGATCTAATACATTTAATGCCCCTCAACAACAATGAAGATATAAGAGTGGTGTTAGGTATGTCAAATAGAGAGCTACCAAGATTTTTTCCTGTCAACTGAAGTGTTCTCCACATAAATAATAATGATGGCAAAATGTGTAGAGCCCAAATCATGAATGTATTGTGGCTAAGTATAAATATGGAATAATTAAATTTGAGGTTGAATGTGTTCTTATGGAGAAGTAAGGCCATTATGGCTTGTTGGAGGATTCCTCCTTTGGATGTTCTAGTGTGGATAAGGGATATTTAACTACCTATCGTGACCATGATCACGCCTATATTGCTCTTTCCAGGTATGTCTTCTTCTGGGTGTGTTGAGATATATTAGGGTGTATGAGGTGGTAGGATTCATTGTCTTGAATAAAGATTTGCTAGATGCCATACATTCACCATCTCTTGCTAGTCTATCTGATAAAAGGGTGTGTGTGTGTGTGTGGGGGGGGGGAGAGACAGGAAATGTTAGAAAGAGATGGTTTTTAGGCAGTAGGGTCTTGTATATGTTTGACGTAAATACGAGGCAAGGCACTCACCTGAGCTAAAATGGAGGAACAACAGGTATACGATTTTGGGTCCGCATGGGTGAAAGAACCCACCTTGAAATTAATATTAGGAGCATAGGAAATCCTAGCAGAGAGTTTTCTCATATATAAGCACAAGGTTGCAGTGTTGAGCCAATTGAATAGCTATTTAGCTATGCAATGCTTAAAAACGGACTAAATACCTACTTCACTGATGTAGCTGTTTAAAATTCTCCATGGAAAATCCCGTTATCATATTAATAACAGAATGGGAATACTATTTTGTTCTGGCAACCTTCAGATTAACCTGTTATCTTCTCCATCTAAATAGAATTGAACTAGAAGATATGTAGTTATATGGATTGAAATCATCGACATTATATATTATTGCTAATCCCTCTAAAGGCACTTGAATAAGAAGATGCCGCTGCTTATAATTTAGGACCAAGTTTTGCGTTCTTTCTCAGTGCCATTCCTGAGGATGGAAGAAGGAAGGCATATGCAGAAGCACTGGCAAAAGCAAAGGCCGAAGAAGAAGCCATTATAGCCTCAGAGAAAGTCCTTGAAGCAGAAACTGCTACTAAGAAGCTTGAAGAAGAGGTGAAAAAACTCTCAAAGCAACAAGCCCAGGCAGCCAGCCTCGCCAAGGAAGCTCAAGCTAGAGCAGAAGCAGCTGGCTCAACACTAGAAGATCTCATCAGCAAGGCAAAGGATCTTGGCGAGGAGTTATCTTGGAAGAAACTGAGTTCACAAATTGCAACTGCAGTTTCTCCAAATTCATCTAATGAAAAGCCACAGGCACAAATTGCCACCATAAGAGGCCAGGCCAAGGCCTCCATTTTATCGCCGAGAAAGGCTGTGTTAAAGCAGCAGGCATCAAAACCAAAACCTAAACAGAAACAAGTAGAGCAAGAGGGAAAAGCCTCAAAAGCAGATGTGAGGAGTGTATTTGGAGGACTCTTCAAGCAAGAAACAATCTATATAGATGATGATTGAGCAATGCAGGTTCCCTTCACTGCTCTTAATGAAACAAATTTATATAGATGATGATTGAGCAATGCAGGTAACTTTCACTGTTCTTTTTCATTTAATTTTCTGTAGAGGTTACAAATGTGAGGATAAATTCTTTTGTGTTTTTGCATTTTGCTTCGAATGTTTGAGTCTTGTATGAGTATTTATGTAATTGTCTATAAGCTTCTGCAATAGTAATGATATCTCAGTATTCATTAGTTGGCTACTTTCTATCATGTTCAATGAACCTTTTTAGCAAGCTTGAACTAGTTTTTGTTGTTTTTGCTGATATTTGTTTTTCTGCAAGAGGTAAACTTGTTTTGATTATCCTAGCATTATTATAATTAAAGATGAACAACACATATTAGTCATGCATGCGATATGCCCATGGTAGCTCTTACAGGCGTAACTTTTTTTTTTTTGTAATAACAATTTTAAAGTGAATTTAATTCCAAACTTATGCACATGTGTAAGACCCCAAAGCCATGAACTATTGATGCAGTGACCTTCCGTAGTTTCACATATAATATATAGTTTAATATACTTAATAGCTTCCTAATTACCTTTACTTAAGCATGATTACTTTTATTTATATTATTGATATTGTGAATGTTGTCCTCACAGAGTAGAAGGATAGAGTATCATTGTATTTATATATGCTTCTTTTGGTATGGTGAATTTGCTTTTCCCGTGTGCTTCTATCTGCACCTGCGTCCTCATCTCCAGCACTACATCAAGTGGCATTAGAGTTGACGACAATAACTATTGAAGATGACAACCCCCTAGCCCGTGACAATGTCGTAGCAGTGATTATCTCCGGAAATCCCTTGTTACTCATGCATAAATGACCAATGCCCTAGATCTAGGTTTTCGACCAATTGTTTGAGGGGTGTGTCAAGAATTCTATCAACTCAGCTATGGTGGCATCCCATATCCAGCACCCACACTGGTAGATCTAGTACCCACACTAGAGAGGTGCAAATTTGCTGTGGTGAAATCGAATTTGAAACATTCCCCTCGATCTAACCAATCGGCACAAGCAGAGCTTCTTGGATCCACTGGTGAGCTTATCCTCATTTTTGGGCTACTCATCTCTATCCCCCACCTCATCCGACCAACCATAGCGCACATCAAGGAAAGTTCAAAATTAAATCCGCTTTTTGCTGTTTTGATGGTAATTATCATATTGAAGACTATCTTAATTGGGAGTAGAATTTTGAAAATTTCTTCTAGTACATGGATTTTTCTCAAGAGAGGCAAATTTGGTATGCGGCAGGCAAGCTAAATGGTAGTGTGGCTATTGGTGGAATCATATGAACCAAGCTCATTGTCATGAGGACAATGATGAAATCTATACTTGGCTTACGATGAAACGATTGCCTCAATAACAATTTCTCCCATTGTGCTACGAACATTGTGCTACGAACAATCATTATATTGCCATGAATTTCTATGGCACAAACAAGGACTAGCATGGCTCATAAATCACTTTCATGGGATGCTTATCATAGTAATTGAAAAAGGTTAGTTATATGTGCTTGAGATTTGGGTCAAGAGTTTGTAAGAGAAAGATTGGAGATGGGTGTGTTGATTCCATTTTGATTAGCGAGCATGTTGATAGGTTTTTTCTATATAGAAGTAGAACAAATGAAGGGATTGCCTCCACATTGCGAATGCCTTTAAAAATATGGTCATAACATGCTCACCAATGTTGGGAAAATGGTTTCAATGTTAGTTTTGTGTGGAATTTGATTATGTCAATCAATCGAGTTGTACTGATGCCTTGGACCTCAATTCCTTCGGTCAAGCTCGTCGGGGGGTTACAAGGGGTTCTCCGCCTGCTTGGATTTGGGTGCTTTGCATTTGAAATATTTTTTCCTGTACAACCATACAACTCTATTGCGCTGTGTAGTTTTCTTGGAGACAGACAAAGAGTGGAGTGTTGCGGCGCTCTGAACCTCGACACTGTCAGGGAGCACCGCGGCGTCTCATACCCAGCGTTGTGGCGTTGTTTGATAGACTGGAGACAGAGGGTAGAGCGTCCCAGCACTATAAGATGGGTTGTTAGTTTTTCTTTCTCATTTTTTATGAGGGTTGTGTCGCTTGGTAGGTAATGTAAGTTTCTCTTTATTTGTTCTTGTGTGAGAACAGTGCAAGGGTGAAGAGTTAGAGAGATGTGAGATTTGTACTATTTCTCCCAACTTTTCATATTAAATTTTTTAGTGTAGTGTGACTCTGTGGTTTTTTTTTTCCCAGTTTTGGATTTTCCAGGTTAAATCTTAGTGTTCTTTATTTTCGATGTATTTTCTATTTCTTGTTTGTGTTTGTTGTGTATTTTACTTCGCCAACATTTAAGGGCGCTAAAAAATATGGATAACTAATTAATGTTGAAGCTGACATGGTTAAAACAATTTCAAACTTTTTGCAATGTGCGAAAAATTTGAACGCCGAGAAAGAAATACACTACAGTGATAAATTTAAAAGAAATACACTATAGTGATAAATTTAAAGGATAGAGCGTTGGTGTCTAAGCTAGAAAATAATGGTAGGAATGATGCTTGAATGGCATGAGGCTCATAGGAATTGTGTGCATCATTGGTGTAATGAGGTGGTGGATATAATGGGCAAGATATGTCATGAGATTCACGAGCCTGGTTACAATGCACCTTCATGCCCTCTTGATGAGACCTCCATTGAAGAGTGTACTTGAGCACCATTGCTGAAATTTAGGTATATATCTTGTAATTGCTGAACTTCTGTTTTGTAGCTTTGGAGCTTACATATACAATGGCAATTGCTCCATTTGATGTTCTGGTTGTGGAGTTACCATGAAGAAACTAATTGCAACTAATCATTTCAACTAAGTCTTAAAAAATCAACCCAAACCCTCAAAGTTCTCAGCCTAGTTTCTAGACTTCATTGCACCTAATCTTATTTTTCATATTACTACCAGGCTTTTAGCCTCACCAAACTCTATTATTAATTCCATATCATAAGTTTACATCCTAAGCTAATTTTCACCATCATTTTCAACTATTTACCCCACTTAAAACACATTCATCTACAAAATCAGCTCAAACTACCTAAATAGGATTGACTAGTCTTGGCATTCCTTTCACATGATCACATCCCTTAAAGTTCCACCAAAGAATTTCAGATCACTTTTTGAAGAATAAATTAAATATTCATAAGCATTTTAATTAACTAGTCCCAAAAAAAGAACCTCCCATCATCATCATCAAATATTTTATTATTGTGACTAGCTATTAAATATGATTTACAGCTCACTTTCCAGCGTCCCCGCCAAAGCCGAAAGATGGCACGCTAGTTAATCATTCCACAAAGAAATACAAGATGGAGTGTATTGCTTGCAGGTACTGCGACTGCACTGTATTGGCAGTTCGACGCGGGATAAAGAGCCAAATCCTATCTGCTTACATTTTGAACCAAGAAAGTTTCTCATCATTATATAAAGCATTTCTTAATAAGCATGCATGGTAGACAGGCTATTGCTATTCTACAGATTGGTACATATAGAGATTTTCTAATTGGTACTGCAAAATCAAGTTTCTTTCTCTCTGAATACCTGTACCATTAGTTGTTCTTCATAATTTTTAACAGTTGTAACGTTCCATTAATTGCGGCAAAGATGTTCCTAACCAGACGATGAGTATGGAGAAAAGTGGTAGACTCCAAGAATTTCATGTTCATCAAAGATAAGAATTTCCTACCAGCAACTAATGGAGAGAGAGTGGGGTTCATTGTTCATAAAATATGGAGATGCATAAAAAAAAGAATTTATATTCATTATTCATAAAATTTCGGGTGAAAGGGTCAATCCGAACGCAATCTGATTTTTAAAACGGGTCAAATTTTTGAATCTGAATCTGATCTGTTTTGGGTTCGAGTTGATCATAATCCGAAATTTTTGCGTCGGATTCGATTCGGATTTTTGAATCTTGTCAATATGAGATAAAATAAAGATATTGAAATATTTAGGGTAAGGTCCAAATAAAGACAAGTCAAGAAATGTAAAAAATAAAAAAAAAGATGAAAAACATCAATAATTTGATTTTGAAAAAAATGATAGAAGTGGGGTCCATTGATAGGACCTGTGGGCCTATATTTGGCGGATCAATTAGTCGCTGGTTAAGCCTAGAAATTCTTTTGATTTGATGGGTTGCACTGCATGCAAAAGGTCAGGCCAACCAACTTGGGAAAGATTCAGTGAATTAGATAGAGGGCAGACAAGACTTGTCTTTTCCCACTTTTCCACCCTCATTTTCTTCTCCTTTCTTCACCATTTCTCCAAGAAAGAAAAACCCTTCCGCAAGAAACCAAACCCCTCAAATCGCTTCGCTAATGAAATCCTATCAAATGTCCAAAACTTTCCTCTCATTAATTAACTGATAGATAGCGGTTCATTTCTTAGCTTAATTATAACCTTTATTTTCATATTTAATGAATATTATTAAATCCTATCATTTTGAATTTTTTATTGACCGACTGTAATTAAAATAATATGATGCACAACAAAAAAGTTAGCATTTTACGACAGACTTTGTGGCGGATTTTTTTTTTTTGTTGAAAATGGCAATGGATTTACCATACATTTTTTTTTCAAATTTTTTGTAGTGGATTTACGGTGGTATTTCCATAGTAAAGTAGCGGCAAAAATTCCACAGTAAATTCGTCAAAAATCCAATGTAAACTATCCTATCTAATTGACTGATTGGGCATTCATTTCACTTCTCTATGTTCTTGACTGCTCTCCTCCACCCTTCAGCTCTCCTCGAACTTCGCTCACCTCCTTCGACAACGTTCCTTCTTGTCGCATCCGAAGTCACACCTCATCGTCGTTCTTCTTCGTTGTCGAAATTACGCGACAGGAGCTTGGTCATTGCTAAGGTATCCACTATCCATCTTTCTTCCTTTTTGTGCGCTTCTTCATCCTGTCGCATCCAAAGCCACACCTCCTCGCCATTCTTCTGTTGCAGTCGAAGTCGCACCACCACGAGAGCTTAGTCGTTGTGAAGGTATCCATCCTTCTTCCTTTTGCATGCTTCTTCATCCAAATTCATAAATCTGCCAAACTCTCACCCTTGCTACCACTAAAAGGCATGCATTTTGCTAATGATATTCTTCTTGTTGATAAGACTAGAGAGGGAGTTGAAGATAAACTTGAATTATAACGTTCAACCTTAGAATCTAATGGGAGGCATTATGCCTTTGGGCAAACAAGTCATTAATAAGAGTACACTCTTTA